TAAGAAGATATACTCATGAGGAAATGGAGTAGGGAAGCATGATGGAGAGTATTTGAGTGAAGGTCTGTAGAAAGAGTACCAGAAATGATTTTTCTTATTGGAATACAGTACAGACCTGAACAGAATAAGAAAATAGATGAGGGACTTGTGAAGCAGATCAGAAGTCTGGCACAGAGGTGTGACATGGTAACAATGGGGGACTTCAATTATCCAGACATCTGCTGGAGCTCTATTTCTGCATAAGCAAAGCAGTTAATAATTTCATGGCTTGCCTTTGTGCTAATTTCATCCTTCAAAAGACAGAGGTATCCCAAGGGGGAATTCTATTTTGTATCTGTCTCACTAAGAGAACCAATTACTAATGTGAAAATAATGGAAACAATGACCACTCCCTCCCACAGTTTGTGATAGAGGAGAGAAAATCCTAGAATATTCTGACATGTAGTATAGACTTTGGGAGGGTTTAAAGAAAAAGATCTGATCCCATAGACTAAAAATCATGCAATAGAAGTCATCCCAGGAAGGATGGGAAATGCTTACAAAAATTTTGAACATACAAAGGAAAACTATTCCAATGATGAAGGAAAGTATTTGTTTGAAGAAACCCACGTGGATGCACAGGAATCTCTTCCACCAATATAAATTTTTAAAAGAAATATTTAGAAGATGGTAACAAGGCCAGGCAACTGAGGGAGAATATAAGAGCATCATATAGTCGTATAAAAACAATGCCAGGAGAGCTAAAGATCACCTGAAGCTGGTACAAGAAGATAAAGGCAACAAAATGTGGGTGGAATGGGGAGAAAAAGAAGATAAATAAGAGATGGAACCTTTGATTGGGATGGATGAGATGATAAGTGACAACAAAGAAAAGGCAGAGATACTCAAATCTAATTTTGCTTCTATTTGCCGATGAAAATTACCTTTGTTCTTGGAAATAGCAAAACAAAAATGACTGATACAGAGATGATGCCTGCGATATGGAAAGAGAAACGACACAACAGTACCTAATTCACTTTCATAAATCCAAATCACCTAGCTCAGATGAGCTACATAATCGGATACAAACAAAAACAAAAACAAAAACAAAAAAACAAACATGACAGTTGTATTTGCTGGAACCAGGAACAAGGGGTGCAAGATACAGATGCAAATTTAGTCATGTCACAAAAAAACTTCTTCACAATTACAGCTCTCTAAAAGTGTAATAGGCTGCTTTGCTAGCTAGTGGGTTCTTCCTCCTTGGAGGTATTCAGCCAGAAGCTAGAAGACCACATTTTGGGTATACAGTCTGAAGGATTCATTTCATATATGGGTTAAACTAGATGACTGCTGTGGTTCCTTCCAACTCTTAAATTCTGTGATTCTGTGAGTCTTTTGGTGGTCAAGTACTGAGGTCACACAGCTATAAATAGCAGAACTTGGCTTCAAAGCTAGGTTATTCCAGAGACAAAGCTCTTTTCCCTGTAGTACATTCTTTCTCCTATTTTTCTTAAATCAAGGTGAATTGGGTTGACTCACATTTTTAGTCAGGGAATTGGTAAAAATAGCCAACTTTTTGCACTCTCAAGCTCACTGAGTTGCTTGGTACCCTCTCTACCAGCTTAAGTTTGGTTTCATGAGACTGTCCTTGCTTTGAATAGGAGGGATTAAACTCTTTTGTCCTTTAGGCTTTATCTGGCAGTTTACTTTCCTATCAAAGAAGCAGCTTTGAGCTTTATCTTCATTTCATGTTTGCTTCTTTATTTGTTTTTGGCTGGATGATTGACTGCTTCTGCAAGTAAATAGTCTTCCATACCATAAGACATCATGAGATTAGACACCACTGCTGGTATTTCTCCATGGGGCTAGATTGTCTGGAGATTTTGAAGGGTTTTGGCATAAATGAAAGGAAAGGTTGATGATGTAAAGCAGAAACACCTTCCAAGGTAGGGTAAATGAAAGATAGTGTGTCCCAAAGGTTAATGTTAGCTGGGGGTCCTACATGTAACTGAGATTCCTGAACCCAACCCCTTTGATCTCCGGGACTTCTATTCTGATGTACTTATCTGTTCTGGAATTTGTATTCCCAGTGTTCTGAAGAATTGGAAGAAATTAAAAGGTGCAGGAGTTGACAATTACAATATAACTTGTTATTTATACCAGTCTGAATCATGCTATATACTACCAAGACACAATAACATCTATCAAAAGCCTGTAGATACAGTTATTTCATGAGTTTTATAAAGAAGATCCACTGTAATTAAAAACAAAAAATTAAGGTCAATATGTATGGGTGACTGTACTACTACTACTACTACTACTACTACTACTACTACTAATAATAATAATAATAATAATAATGATATTTTCTGCATATTGTTTATTGATTTCCAAAGTTTTTTCTCACTCATTGACTCATTTGAGCCTCATGACGATCCTGTAAGGTAGGACAGTTATTTTCCTCATTCTAGAGATGAGGAAACTAAGGCTGTGACTTCCCCAAGTTTATAGAGCAAGGAAGACTGGGTTAGGATTCCCCCTCCTTAGTCAAGCTTTAATTTTAGAATAATGAAGTGCATATGTTGCCTTCATTTCTTACTATATATTTATATCCTAGTCAAAATTATTCTAATGTCATTAAAGTATAAAGCAGTCTTCAGGAGACATTTGTCCTATTTCATCATAGCTGACAATGGTATAAAGTCCTCATAGTATATCAAGGTTATGAATTAATTGTAAAAGAGTAAATCTCAAGAGATTTCTTAAAAATTCAGTTAAGCTCAACTCATACCCATAGATAATATATACACACTCATATACATATATACATATATGTGTATATATATACACATATAAATATGTATGGTGTCATTGGGTACTTTTGAAGATGTTTTCACATATAGTCAAATCTGGTGCTTTAAGATGATTGGTAAATAGTGATGACCCTCAATTGAAGCTACTCTCAGTTTTGCTAAAGTACATACGAATACATTTTATTGACCATTACTAGTTCATAGGATTATAGATTTAGAGCTGAAAAGGGCATTTGAGATTATCTAGCTTAATTCCCTCATTTTGCATTTGGGGAAACTAAAGTCAAGAGAGTTTAAATGACTTGCCCAAGATTACTCAACGAATTAATAGGAAAGCCAGGATTTGAATACAGGTCCAGATTCTAAATCCAATACTTTCTCAATTCACAAGTTAATTAATTAAACAGCATCAGATGGGATCTAAGAGTTTTCATTCAGATCTAATAAACTTTGAATTTTTGAAGACCATGAATTCATAATGGAAGCAAGTTACACTGGAACATTCTTATGACGTTATATTGTGGTTATTGAGCTGCAGACATCATACACATACACAGAAACAGACACACACACACGTACATACTCATGCTAGAGTCAGTAGAATGGCAGTAGTTAACACTGAAGGAGGAAAAAAATGAAATGGAAAATTTTAATTTTTCTATTGGGTTTCTTTTCTGGTTTTGCCAAATAAAATGAAATGATGTCTTAAGACAGACTATGTGGATAGATGTTAGAGTAATAATAAGAACTAGCAGGACAAACTAGGTTCTGATATTAGTTGTTTTGATCTGGTGAATGATTCAATGTGAGTAAAACAACTCCCTGGAGTTATCTGCTTCCTCAATTGAAGTATATATAATTTCAGAAAACCAAAGTATGACTTAGAAGATGACTTTCTAATTATTATGCTAGAAGTCTTCATATATATTAACTGGGTGAGTAGTTTACTCCTGAATATAATGTGTTCAGGTTTAATGTAAGTTAGATATTCTACAAACTTATAAATCCTACAAATACAGTAACAGCTCACTTATCCAGACATCATTTATATGGAGACCTCCTCTAGCAGGATACAACTCCAAACCTGGAAGTAGCCAATGATGGTTTTCAGAATGCAAAGTAGATGTCACAGAAAGCAATGGACTGTGAATTAGGAGATCCTGTTCTTAGTTCTTCCACTAATTAGCTATGTGGCCATAAGTCATTTATCCTCCCTGAGTATCCTCAATTTCCTCACCTGGAAATCAAGGGGTTAAATGAGATAATCTCTAAGGCTCCTTGTACAACTACCACTCTGTGATCCTGTGTGATTATGTAATAGAATCTTCCCCAATGACACCAGATAAATGTTGATCTGTGAAATGGAATAAGCATTGGAGACAGAATCAGTGTGCCTGGGTTGGAATTCCGAGCTCTGCTATTATTACTTATGTAACCCTGGCCAAGCCTCTGGACTTCTGTACTAAGTGCCCTCTCTGGTCATTTCTAGCTCTTAAGTCCAATAAATCTCTTTCTAAAGTAAGAGTTTGTTTGACATTCCATCAACTTGGAAGTCTCTATAAAATAACTTTATGTGGTTCATTCATTGATAATTAACATGTATAATGAAGAGACTGAGTTCTACAAGGTCTTGAAATGATAATTTATTGACTCACCAATGCACTTAGACCTCAATCAATGGTCTTCATAAGTTGCTGTGGCCAAAATATTTCATCATCTAGTGTCTTTTGCTGATGAACTTCTCTTGACCTACCTAGGCTATTATTCAGACAACACACAACAAACAGATCATTGGTGAAGTCAATTTTTTCTACTTTTTCCACTTTCTAAAGAGCTGTTAATAACCTATCTAACACAGCTTTTGAAGGTTATTTACTCCATACCACAAGGAAGTGCTGAAGGAGGGCTTTAAATAATAGTTGGGTCTAGCTCCTAAAGAATATTTCTTGCCTGTTTCCCTATCAAGGTTTTTGCAAAGCCCCACCAGTTAAAATTGAGTTGGTATAAATTCCAATTTGTTGATTTTTCTCTTCCAAAGCCAATAGAGTGCCACTAGTAAAAGCCACATCATCCCAGCACACCTGGAGATGTAACTGGAGCTTTGAGCTATCCTTTAAGAAAAAGTCACCACTTTGTAGGACACCTGAGAGTAAAGCACTCACTTTCTATCAATTATTCAGAAATCAGCTTCTTCCTCTCCCTTACCTTCACTGAAAACAAAGTCAGAGATAATATCAAAGGGCTGGATGTGGACAGATGAGAGGAGCATAGCAACAGTTTTCTGATGATCACTGGAGGTGAGGGAGATGGTCTGTTGAGCTTGGCACTCATAGGATTTCCCAGCTGGAGTGACTAAGGCAGATAGGTGATGAGAACTGACTGTATGCTTCCCAGCTGCAGAGGTGGCACAGAAAACAATAAAATTAATCCTATAGTAATAATAACTAGCATTTCTGTAGTACTGTTTAAAAAATTCACTTTATCATCACAACAACCCTGGGAGGCAGATGTTATTATTATTCCCATTTTACAGATGAAGAAACTGAGGTAGGCAGAAGATAAGTGACTAGTCACACAACTGGTGTCTGAGACTGGATTTGAACTCAAGTCTCCCTGACTCTGGGCAGATAGGTGGTACAGTGGAAAAAACACTGGACTTGAAACCAGGAAGACTCATCTTCATGAGTTCAAATCTGGCCTCAGGCACTTACTAGCTTTGTGACCCTGAGCAAGTCACTTAACCCTGTTTGCCTCAGTTTCTCTTCTGTAAAATGAGCTGGAGAAGAAAATGGAAAACCACTCCAGTATCTTTGCCAAGAAAACACCTAATGGGGTCATGAAAAGTAAGAAGCAATTCAACAACTTCCTGACCCCAGGTCTATCATGCTATCCACTTCTCTACCTAACTCACCCCAATAAAGCCTCCATTTCTAATCTTTAATGTATCAAACAAGACAATGGAGGAGGAGTAACTGACCATTGCTGAATAGTTTGAAACATGGACTCTGTATTTAATATTTAATTCCAACTTTACTTTTCTCCCAGGGCCAACCAATAAAGAAGATCAGCAGCCTTTCTTGGGGGTGAAGCTTCTGATTTCTCCAGTTTTTGAATTTAGTCATTTGTGTTTTAGTTGGAGAAAATTATTTTGAAATCCAAATTTCTCTCTAGTGATAAAAATGATTCCAAAAATACAAATACAAACAAATTCTTTTGCTCAAGTCTTCTCCTGCAGGATCATAATATTTTTCCTGAAGAAATGCATGGTCTTAATTACTCTGGATAAATGTAATAATAATAGATAATACATATAAGGCATTTTGCAAAGCATTTGGACACATTCTTTCATGTGTTTTTCATGACAATCCTGTGAGGCATATAGTACAACTGTTGTCAATCCCCCCCTTTTTTTTCTGAAAGAAATTGAAGCTCAGAGAGATTGTGATCCAAGATTACATAGCTAGTAAGTAGTGAGGCTTGGGCCTAGAATAGTTTACAAATCTTTTTTTTTCCTTTTACATTCTTATTTTTTCCAACATTTTCCTCCTTCTATGATAAGGGTAAAGAGGTCCTCTGGCATGTCTTTTTTCAACCAAAGAAAAATGCACTTTGTAGGTAGGGGGAGTGTATAATTGATCATTTAAAATTCTTCTCTGTCGAAGCAGTGTATCAGAAATGTAAACTATCACCAGAACTAAGGGGTAAAATTGAAAAACAAAACAAAAACAAAAGCAAAAAGAAATCTTCAATATTTGAAAACATTGAACAGAATGTAACAAAAACAGATGATTTCTTTGACTATACTATAAGATTTGGATCAGACAGTTGGAAATTCAGGGGCATTTTCATGGAGGTCTTATGAGAAGATGAGAGCCTCTTCTTTTAGTATAAACTGGTGGATAGATGGATTGGGGGTGGGTCTGAAGGGGCTAATTTAGCAAAGAATGGCACCGAATAGTCCTTCACTTTAGAATGTATTTAGGTAATTAAGACCCAAGGGTGAATATGATGTAGAAAGGAAAGATTCCCAGAAAAAAATGTGAGGAGGAAAACTGAAGAATTTGCTAGGCTTTCTGAGAATGAGGAGAAACTGCAGCACCATTACACTGCATTTTTGAAGGAGACAAAACAGAGTAAAGGGAAGAGAGAGACAGACAGACAAGACAGAAACAGAGAAGAGAGAAGAGAAGAGAGAGAGAGAGAGAGAAACAGAGAGACAGAAACAGAGACAGGGAGAGAGGAGAGAGAGAGAGAGAGAGAGAGAGAAACAGAGAGACAGAGAGACAGAGAGAGAGGAGAGAGAGAGAGAGAGAGAGAGAGAGAGAGAGAGAGAGAGAGGGAGAGAGAGAGAGAGGGAGAGAGAGAGAGAGAGACAGAAACAGAGACAGGAAGAGAGAGAGGAGAGAGAGAAAGAAAAAAGAATCACTTTTCCCCAGCCTCGTCAACCCCCACTGCAGAATGTGTTCGAATGGATGAAAAGGAGAGAGGAGCAAAACCTCTCAGATTGAAGGAAACTGGCTAAATCAGCTGCTTAGGCGTGTGGGAAAGGGAAACTTGCCTCAGGCCTTTTTCTGCAGTGCTGAAGGAGTCTAGAGGCTGGGGTGGACCCTGGGCCGAGGTGGCCAGATGGATTCTGGATGATTTGTCTCTGCCCTACAGTGGGAACATCTGGTGATCACATGCCTCCTGGGAGCTGGGGCAGCCTAGCTGGGCTTCCCAGAGGGTGCAGGAGGCAGCTTGGTTCCTGCTGTCTTCTGCCTCAATGGGCTGGAGCCTGGGCCATAAAAGGAACAACATAGCCTGGGCTCTGCTCGTCAAGCAGAAAAAGATTTCGAACAGAGAGACTTGCCCTAGGCCGATTTTGTAGAGTTTTAGAACTGAATTTGAGGACCAGGATGAGAGACACGCCATCTTTCACTCCCTCCCTCTTGGGGATGCAAAAGACCCATCTCCCCAGACCCACCCCAAACCTCAAACTCCCTCATCCTTACTTACGATTGACAGCATCTTTAAAGTACGTTCTCTCTGAGGAATCATAAACGAACTGAACTTTGCTCAGCCTCCAGGAAGCTTCCAGGCCCTTAGAAGTGTTGTGGCCTTCCTGGAAGGGTAATAAGCCGTCAGAAGAAAGGAGCCTTAGAGCAGTGAGTGGCCATTTTGTTCATTAGATTGCTCCTTCTCGAAGAAACCCGGCTACTGGCCCAGGGGTTTTTCTGACCTTAGCTTTTTTTTTTTTTTTTTTAATGCTTGCACCATTTGCCACCTCCTAAATACACAGTATGAATATTACAGAGTGTGAATGCATTGATATGCATCTACATATTTCCCTGCCCACTTGGTATGCTTGAAAGGGGTCAATTGAGCCACCCAAGGGCAATTGAATCCCGCTTGAAAAATCTCTCCCCGTGGCGCATCCCGGCCCTGGAGTTACCTTCACGAAGAGCATTTTGAGAGCATAAGCTTTGTCGACCCAGAAAACTTGCAATTCGGATTCATTGTGCCCACATCGGCCCTTCATTTCAGCCCCCCGGGAAAGTGGAATATCAGCTTGTTCCGTGATCAGCTGGAGGCAAAAACACATGGAACCGTGGCTCAGAAGCTGGCGGGGACTCAGCCCCACACCCAGCAGCTGGGCCCAGGGGAAGCGCATTCAGGGGAATGGAAAGGGTTCGGCGCCAAAGCCTTGCGGCCTTCATAGGACCTGGGAATGAATTCAAAGGAGCACCCCAGCGGAATCTCTAAGGCGAAGGTGGAAGTAGATTGGGGGTGGAGGAGATGGAAATGAAAATGTATCCAGACAAAACTCTCAGAAAGACATTTGGGCTCTGTTTTCGCAGCTTAGCTTTCAAACCCTCTCCCAATCCCAGGGCCATGCGGAATGGGCAGTGGTTGAGTGCTTTAGGGGAGCAAGGTGCAATGAAGCGGGTAGAGCAAGGGGAAGATGCTAGAGGATCAGTTTGCATTTCCAAAGTGAACACCATGCAGCATTCAAGAGGAACAGCTAAAGTCTTCATGGGGCCTGTAAGGTGGGGGCCCTTTGTCTGCATTCATTCCAAGCTTCAGTCAGCACCCTGTATTAAAGGGACTTCAGATCCCTCTGTGAGCTAAGACTTGAGAGCAAGCTGGGTTGAAACGGTTCCTTACATCGACATAATTGCTGGCCCACACATCATAAGGTACAATAAATTTTGCTGCAAATTCTGCCATTAGACACGTTGTCCCATTTTCCCGCACCACAAATATATCTTTTTCAGGGTTAGTGGAAAGACCTGAGAGATTTTCAACTTCTTGTTCTGCCATGATCTGAGCAATTGTATCTGTGAAACAAAAATATAACATCGGTTCTGTGCTAAACAATCCAATGCCTCTGAGTCACAGTTAGGCACAATGGCAAAGATGCAGTCAGTGTTCAGCTGGTATGTTAGGTTACAGTCAGTCTCAAAAGTTACCGATTTTGCAGTGCCCTGGACGTGCAATTCAACAATGAGCATCACAACCCTATGAAAAGACATGGATCGATTCAAATATAACATGTCTTTAAAATCCTTATAAACCTAGAGCCCTTATAAGCCCCTGTTTTCTAAACCATGTCTTTCTTTCAAAAGCTCCAATCCATGCAAGTCTCAAACTCCTATCCCTGAGTTCTGTCTGCAAACACCATAAGCCATGTGTGAATCCCTGTTAGAGATGAAAGCACATACAAAATAAAACGAGTACATTTGAATTGAAAGGTAGCTGGTGGACTAAAAGGTGCCAGTGCTATTCTTTTTAAGAAGTTCAACCCAACAGCTAGACGCCAGAACCTTACTCACGGAAAAGCAAGAACACGACTTGAAGACGCAAGATTCCCGGAGCAGTTCTCCTCCTGTGGTCCATGCTTCTTCTGGTAACTGAATCCAGATGTTCTGTTGTCCGGTGGGGAAATCCCCGACAGATTCCTCCAGAGGAGGAGTGAAAAGAGAGAGAAGGGAGGTGGGGAAAGAGAGGGAGTGGAAGGAGGGGGGGGAAGGGAGAGAGAGAGAGAGAGAGAGAGAGAGAGAGAGAGAGAGAGAGAGAGAGCTCAACATCAAGTACTTGTTCTGTGGTGCAGCACAGACGCAAGCTTACGAGGAACTCTACTCACCGCAGAGAGGGAGGCAAGCAAGGGTGAGAGCTGTCCACGGTAGCCAGTGCTGAAAGGAATCCAGTTGTACTAGGTTCTTGTCTTGTTTTTCTAGAGGTAGACCTAGGTTGACTTGCGCTGTAGGCAAACATACATTTTCAGTGTTCAGTGTAATTGCTATTTTTTTTCTTTTACCCTTCTATCACATGTACTGCAATTGCATATGAAAAAACTTAATAGCAACCCGATCTCCTCCAGCGTCTATAGGAAATCCCCCAATTTTCACATAGCTTAAATATCGTATTACTGATTCATTGTATTGAAATCTTGAAACGTCCCTTGCTCTTGAGGGAAACTGTAGCCCTGAATTATTCTGGGGTAAGGGTGGGAGGAGGGAGAGAGAATAGAGAAGAAAATGCTATGGCAACTATTTTCAGGATTTGGGAGGTGACTTCTTCAGTGCCTGTGCTCTAAATGAGCTGATGGGTTCAATGTTAGATTGATGCCCCCCCCCCTTAAGTGTAGCAGGCAGGCTCTGAATTACTTTGCTTAAAGGAGGTTAAACTTCCCATTGTATGAACAGAAAGTTAAGGTCTCTAATAAGTTCTGGGGATGCTCTTATGCCACCTTAATTTTGAACAGGTGATGTTTGTATATTAATGTTGAAAAGTCATTCTGTCAAGGATTCAAGACCAACAAGAGACAGTTATCTGGGTTAGCCAGCTCTCTTCTTAGGATACATATTTTAAAAAGGTACTTAGGTGTCATATCATGCAAAAATATCAAGTTTGCATATTGAAGTCAAAGGCAAATGAGGAAAATAAATAGGATGTAATTCCTATGCAGAGGTCAATGTTGTAAACATTATGAAGGTATATACACATTTTCCTGTGCTGCATCAGGAGCTGGCCATCATAATACACGTCTTTCAGGAACATAACATTTCTCCTTATCTTGGTCGCCAAAGGACTATTATAAATGTTTTAGATGACAAAAAGCAATTTACTTTCAAAAGAAAATAAGTCCTCCTTGGGATATATATTTCTAAAGCTTAAAATTAAAACTTAATAGGGCTTGTCTTCTATTCAAAACCTCCAGGAACATTATTTTCCATGATGTCATTCAGTATCCCACAATTAATTAACCTATCAATTTTGTGTTAGAATAACTAAAAAAGAATTGCTTTACAGGAACAACTTTCATTTTATTATATAATGCAGCAATAGTTATTATTGACTAATATTTTAAGAAGGAGAGAAGACCATTCTAGGAAATTATTACCCAGGTAAAATAAAGCACCTCCGTTCAACAAAAAGACAGAATTCTGAAATGTTCATTGCTGTTTTGATCATAATTGTATTCCTAAAATATTTATCCTGCACAGATTGCACAGCAATTTCCATTTGCAAATAGACATCATATTACTAATTATAACTAACTTAAATTTTTTAACAGCATTTAAAATAATGCTACCTTATTCAATACACACATATCTATTTATACATATGTATGCATATTTCTCTACTATTTAATATCATTTTAAATATCTCAAAGTCCTTTATAAAAAAAATTACTTATGTTCAGTAATGACTTGAAAGAGGTAATAAAACACTTTTAATTCCTCCTTTCTGAGAAAATCAGACTCAGAATAAAATTATTTAGATCTTTACACTTATTCTTGAAGATAGCTCATTAATACTTTCTGTAATTAGTTTATTTTATTCTCCTTCAGTTAGTTATTTTTCTGTAACAGTAGAAGTCAGAGGAGCTGGCTTTGCTATTTATTTTGTGACTTTGAACAAATCACTTAATTTCTTTGAGTTTTAGTTGCTTTATCCATAAAATAGGGAGGTTAGAGTAGCTGATCTCTAAAATCCATTTATTGATTCTATATGCTTTAGAGACTCTAGATACTATGATCTCTGTAAGGTGGCCATCAACATTTACCAACATCAGTTAGGAACTAACAAATTATCCTGAAATCATTTTTGACATTTGTTATAATGATTAAGGAGATAGCATATCATAATAGCCTGTAGTAAGTCCCATTAATGCACTTAAAAAAAGTAAACTTAATAAAGTGTGATTTTACCTTTATTTAGGTGGGGGAGGTACATGTGTATGGACAACACTAGGAACATTTTCATAAGAACAGTAAGAAGTAATACATTATCTTCAGCAATTAAAATTTTAAAAGTATACTGGAAAATACAACATAGCCAGGTGTTATTTTGGATGGGATTTCTTTACATTCTTCTAAAGCTCTCTTTGAATGCATTTATCCACACACACCCCCCACCGAAACTTATTTAGCTTTCTGTGTGCCCAACCCTGTCCTTTTGCCAGTAGAGTGAGGGACAGAGATGGGATACAGAAGTATAAAACAAGGTTTCTTCTATCAGGTAGTTTATTTTTGTTGATGTTGTAGAAAAAAAGAAACATATGATATCACCTTTAAAATCAAATATAAAATCCTCTCTTTGGCATTTAAAGCTCTATACATTGACCATTCACACATTTCCAGTTTTCTTACACCTTACTCTCCTTCATTTACTTTATGAGCCACTTACAAAGGCCTACTTACTGTTCCTTGTATTCAAAACTCCCTTTACATTGAGTATCCTCCAAGCCTAAAATACTCTCCCTTCTCATCTCTGCCTCTTACTTTCCCTGACTTTTTTTTTTGACTCAGCTCAAATCCCATGCTCTGAAGGAGGCTTTTTTTTCTGGTCCTGCCCCTATATAGCAGTTGCTAGTGCCTTCACCTCTGAGGTATCTCCCCTTAGTGTATATGTGTGTGTGTATGTGTGTGTGTGTGTGTGTGTGTGTGTGTATACATGTCTGTATGCTTGCATGCATGTATCTGTGTGTGTATGCATGGATCTATCTGTCTTTCTATACTTAGATATTTATGTGTTGTCCCCTCCATTAGAATGTGAAATCTTAGAGGTCAAGGACTATTTTTAACATTTCTTTGTATCCCTAATGCCTAACACATTGCCTGAAACATAGTAAGCACTTCATAAATGTTTGTTGACTGACTGATTATAAGCAGGAAAATATTAGAATGTGATATATGAGAAAGCATATGGTAGTGTAGCATCAATCATGTATGAAAGGTTGAGGGAATATAAACAAATAATCAGATAATGTCTAGAATTAGTGAATATTTCCCAAAGAAGGTGGTTTTAAGTAGAAATTTGAAGAAAGTAATGGATATGGAGTGATGTCCATGATATAAAAAGACCTCCTAGATGCAAGGAAAAACACAAACTATGGTTGGGTAAAGGACTGAATTTAGTAAAAAAAAAAAAAAGTTATAGGAATCTACCCTTCCTTTAATGCTTGAGGCATGTTAATTTAATCTGCAATGAAGAGATAATTAAATCCAATATACAAGTACTTTATGAGCCTTGCAATCCCTACTTGGCTCATTTGTTTTTTTTTTAGCAAATTGCTATTTGCATTTCATATTCAAAAGTCCAAAATAAGAATCAATTATTTCAAATTTTAGATGAGTTTCTCTACATGTATGTATATGTGCAAAAATATTAACATTTCTGAATGACAAAGTTGATATTGTATCTGCTATTTAGACTTCTGATAACTGGAAAATTATATCATAAGTATGGTACTGTGCTTTCTTGTAAAAAATTTTTTACACAATACTTCAATTATTTTGGAGGGATTAAGATAACATCTTTTGCAAAGTGAATCAAGAAATAAAGAAAAATGAAAATAGGAACAAAACATAATGAGGAAAAATTGTTTTTGAGTCTTTAATAAAAAAACCAGTTAGGGTGTGTTTGACCTCAGATATGGTAGACTCACTTTGATTTTCCATTTTATTTAAACAATTCCACTCACTTTAAGGGTCACACTTTTAAAAGTGTCTAGCTGGTGTGTTATTTCCCCCACAGATTATGACTGGGCAACAACAGTTACCTCCTATTATGTAACAAGGCAGATTTTTAATAATCATGCTGGTTATAATAGGACTAATTTTAAATGTATTTTTAAAACTTAGTATCTGAGGCTGTATCTCAACATCTAGATGAAAGTTTAAATGTTCTGTCAACTATCTGGATGTTTTATTTGCAGTGCCAAATGTTTAGGTGTTTGAAAATATGATAATTGAATGAAATTCTCAGTTTTCATTTATGTGTTGCGTATCATGTAGTATCACCTCAAATATCCTTGGTATCATTCCCTACAGTTTTCTTTTTAATTTGCTTTTCCAGTGTCTACTTTAATAAAACAAGTGCTTTTTCTTGAATGGCCCTAATAAGAGGAAGAAGCAAACCATTAAAATTATATGTTGGATTGCTCTAGTTGGCAGAGTGTATGCTCATGATAAATGCTGAAGAGATTTCATCTTACGAATTCATTTAACACAAGTGCTTTCATATAAGGTCTATAGATTGAGTGGGAAGCAAGTGATAATTTTATTGTGGCAAATATTCTTGTATAACTGGAAGTTGTGAGGCAGAAATATCATTCTTGATACATAGTCTGTACCAAAGGATGTATCATGAAATATGTGATTCTGTGAGTAAAATGTTACCAGTTCTAACTAGTTTCATGGTCTGTGTATCATGAATCAAATAGTAACAAAATTCATTTTGGGGACTATGAAGGATAGGAAAACAAATCTCAATAATAGGCCACAATCTGCTTAGTTTTCTTGGTGATAAGTGAAATCTTAAAGTGTCAGAAAAATCTTCTTTCAAGATGGATTCTACCAATATATCCTTGATTGGATTTTTTTAAGCCTTCAGAGAAGTCTTCTGCCTAAAAAATCATAATCTGCAGCACAAAAAAAAGAACAGGAAAGTTAGACATGTTAGCTACTTGAAATTGCTTTGCAACTTCAAGACTTCATGAAAGAAAAAAGGTTTGTTTGTTTTCCTTAAAATCTCTTATGTGTCAATAGCAGTCATACATTATCTTGCCAACTCAGGTTATTTTTTAAGCTTTTAATGTTTTGGACTGTAGTTTACTCTTTTTTTAAAGTTAAAAGATGGACAACTAAAGAAGTTTTCAGGCTTACCTAAGA